GATCAAGGGCTACCAAGTTTGTTTAAATGTATGACCTTGAATCATATTCAAGGTCACAAGGAGCAAATATGTTTAAAATATTTCAACAACTTGTTCTGAATAACCAAAAGGCTCAGGATGTTGATATTTAGTTAGTAGCATATGCTGGGATCAAGGACTACTATGTTTGTTAAAGTGAATGACTTTGACTTATATTCAAGGTCACAGGGGTCAAATTTGTTTAAAATCTTTAAACAACCTCTTATGAATAACCATGGGTCCCAGGATGTTTATACTTTGCAAGTTAAATCCTGAGATGAAAGGCTATACAATGTGTTCAACATAATGACTTTGTTCGACTTTCATTCACAGGTGTGAAATGTTTTAAAAAAAATTAACAGGGTCTTTTGAACGAATTTTAATCATAAATACTGATATTTTGCCTGTAGCTTTATTTTAGATCACTTTTAAGGTTACAGTGTGAGTTTTATACCAGGTGAGCGATGCAGGCCCATTGGGCCTCTTGTTATACTTTCCAAGCCCTGTCCAGACAAATTTCCCAAAACTATGAGACCAATTAAAATTCAACTTTCTGGGATTGATAGATTGGGAATATACTTTATATCAAATGGCCAATGTTCAATTTTAGGGATTCAAGATGGCCTGATTGGCCAAGACAAGGGTGGTTATAACTCTAAGAGGTGACATTGTTGATACTCTGTGATGTATAGAGGATGTGAATCATATTTAAAGGCTGACTTTTAAATTTTGAGATTTAAGATGCTATGGCCTCTGATTGGCTGAAACATAAAAAAAATCAATGGTCAAGCAGGGGGTATAAGTATACTTGTGGCTTACAGTTTTAGATACAGTACCACTATGTTTATCATCCCATGAATGCAACAAAATGAACGATCAGTATACGTAATTATATTTATATCTACCATGTAAATGGTTCCAAATTCTTTGTTCTATGTCTCCTCCAATATCTTGCCAAAACCCTTTGTTATTCCAAACAGGTCTGATACGCTTTCATTAGCTATAAGAAATATTTGATTTATGTGCAGTTTTAGTGTCTCAATTTCTGCCATCTTGAAGAATTTTTAAACCATTAGTGATCTGATATCAGGTGTAACATTTTAACGTCATAAAGGAATTAAGTGGTCACTTCCTGTAATGTACTGGTACATGTTTATCATTGAATTCTTCACATCAAGAAAATATGCAGTCAGTTTACATATGATGGGTGACAATAGTTAGACATACTTGTAAATAATAACCTTTTAAGATTTAATATAATTCCACTCATTTCATTTGCAACCTTTGTTTTTCAGGGTCCTACTTCCCTTAACACAATGTTCTTGTCTCCTTCAATATATTGCAAAATTCATTTACATGTATTATCACACAATGCTTTACTGTACACTGAAAGCTGTAAATATTGTTATCCAAGTTATATGCCAAAGAGTATATATTATGTACTATCTCAAACACTGCTTTAGATAATACTTAGTACATTGTACATGAATTGTTGAGAATGACACTTATCTCAGGTCAAATAATTTTCTGTTTATATATTTCTGTCTGTGCTCTGTGAGTACTGAGTATTTCTATGAATATGTTAATTTATATAATGATAGAAATAATTACCCAGTACCAGGATTATACTAGTCTCATGATAATAAGTGACAATTTTGACGCTGTGGACATTTTTCTTGTGTATCTTAACTCATTCATCCCTGAAATTTTATAATGAATTGAATTGAACCTTTGAATTGGAAGAGTTCAAATGTGTCTGCAGGGATGAATGAAATAAGAATACATCCGGTGTTCTATGTAATTAAACTGCCAAAAAATAATATTGTGACTGTTGAACCTTGTATAATGTCTGTTTTCTAATTTCAAAAGATAATAAACGGGGGAAAATTTAATGATTACAGATCATCAGGTGATTGGATGAAGAGAAATGTTACAAGTGAGATCAGGATAGATCGTTATAGACAATTTTAGATGAGAAGCCTCCAAATCGATCCCGACTTTCAGTAATATTCCAGATATATTTTTAATCGTGTTTAAGCTTGATGAATTTATTTCAGCTTGGGAAATCCCAGTCTTTTTAGTTGTTGTGAAATATAAACATTAGGACAAAGACTTTTCATACATCCCGCAACAAAATTGGGGAAAGGGGAATCAGATTGTCTTTCTGGAGACAGAATCTTGTTGGAAAACTCCTACAGTTTTCATTTGAATTTTGCCAAACTACACTGATGAACTCGCCACGCTCCAAAGTTCTACACCTGCTCTGGTATTTTTATCCAGCAGTTTTTAGCTCACCTGGTCCGAAGGACCATGGTGAGCTTATGCCATACCGCAGCGTCCGTCGTCCGTCAGTCCGTCAACTTTTCCTTTAAAACGCTACTAGTCCTGAACAGCCAAGTAGATTTTGACTAAATTTGGTCTGGAGCATCCTTTGGCCAAGGGGACTCAATTTTGTATAAACGGTGGGTGTGGCCCCCCTTGGGGCAGAGGAGGGGGGCCCAATAGGGGAAATAGAGGTAAAACCTTTAAAATCCTTCTTCTACCGTAGGGATTAAGGGATTTTATCCTAATTTAGTTTAGAGCATCCTTGGGCCAAGGGACTTAATTTTGTATAAATGGTGGGTGTGGCCCCCCCTGGGGGCTGAAGGGTGGGGCCCAATAGGGGAAATATAGCATTTTTTTTTAAATCCTCCTTCTTCTGTAGGAATAAAAGGATTTGTTCCATATTTGGTCAGAAGCATCCTTAGGGGAAGGGGATCCAATTTTGTATAAATGGTGGGTGTGGCTCCCCTGGGGGCTGAGGGGCGGGGCCCAATAGGGGAAATATAGCAAATTCTTTAAAATCCTTCTTCTTCTGTAGGAATGAAAGGATTTGTTCCATATTTGGTCTGAAGCATACTTGGGGCTCTGTTTGAAGTTTGTTCTTGCTATATCTCAAGTACTGGATGGATCTTTCTGAAATTTTATATGTACTTAAAGCACCTACCATGGAGTGCTATATCTTTACTTCATACCAATTATTTTAAACATATTCAGTTGAGCGATACAGGCCCTCTGGGCCTCTTTTGTTTTTTAGTTTTACTCCTTTTGTGAGGAATCCTAAGCCAAGTCTTGTTCTAGAATAAACCATTAAGACTTAATTATTGAAACTTGGTTTACATTGTCAGGACTTGATATAACGGTACATTGTAATTGACATCATTTTGGGGGCGCCGGGTGGAGGTGGCAGGGGACTTGGGGGTATGGTTGTATTTAGCCTGGGGCTTATATTTATCAGTTCTTGTTTAATTTATTATTTACATTAAAATGATTTTTGTATTTAATGAAATTTGATACAAACTTTTATCTAATATGCAGATTCAGTATTTTACTTAATACATGTATTATGACCAATACTACTCGGTGTATATATTTGGTATATTGTTTTGTGCGATTGTTATAGCATTGTATTTATCTTATTCTGTTGCTCACGCTATATTTATTGCAACCATTTGAATGAAATCCATATATATCTCACTACGGAGATGAAGTAATACATTTAACATAACATCTGTGATACATGGTAAGTCGTGAATTAGCCCAGTCAGCCTAGTAGTAGAAATGTACATCACTAAATCATCCTCTACTATGCAAATCATTATATAATACCTTTGGTCAGGGTTTAAGTATGAATATAGTTTCTCTTGCTTATGGATTTTGCTTGTGTCAATGATCAAGGGCACATTCAGTAAGGCAAGTGTTTTGGAACAGTCATTGAAATATTTTTTTGCTCACTAGTAAAGTAAACCAGCATTTTAATATTTTGAATCACAGAAATTAACTTCCCACTTCATGCTATAACAAGCAACTAGTATTGGAGGTTTAGAATGTCAAGCAATTAAATAAAATAGTGCTTGATTTCTTTCAAAAACAGCGAGCCAAGCCGAAAATGTGTGACGTGACAGTCTGGATCTGGTACAGGAACTCCTTTTTCTAGATCCAGTGATTTCATGACTATTTTTGACTGCTCGACTCGTTTGAAATGTTCCAAAATGTTTTCCTTACTGAACACTGGGCTGAAGTGACTGAGTGGCTTAGGCGTCTGACTGTCTATCATCATTAGCCCTCCTCCACTAGGTCATGGGTTCAAGGCCTACGTGGACATGTCGCCAGGTCCTGGCAGCAGGTCAGTGGTTTTTCTCTCGTTACTCTGACTTTCATCCACCAACAAAAACTGGCAGGTCATTAAATGACCATAGCTGTTAATAGGACGTAAAACACAAATCATCAATCACATAGCTGGGTTCATGGTTTATCACCATTTTTTTTAGCTCATAAAACTTTTGTACCTTTTGTAGGGGAGTGGTTTCTGACTTTCTGTCCAAGTATGCTACATATCTGTAGTGTACAATGTTTCATTTCATTATAAATGATGGTATTAAAAGAAAACTAAACACCTTATCATGGTTTTCTGTGTTTTTCTTTAAGTTAACAAAAAAAAAGCTTCAGTTAGTTTTTGTCTGCCTGTCAAAGATGGGACATATTATAAAATATTGATTCACCTGAATATCTTATTATTTTATGAACTTCAAACTTTTTAACGTGGTTTGAAACTACAAAAGCTTATGGAAGTCTGTTAAACATCATTTTCTGGTTGTAAATCATGCAAACATGTTTGTTCACTATGAAAAAAGTTTTCATTTTAAGTACCCAACTAACTTAGGTCAACAAGGTAAAAGGATCACAATTTTAAAATCATTTTTATCGTATGACAAAAATAATATCTTGAGTTTGTTATCATTTTCAAGGAAAATGGAAACTTGTTTTACTAATGATCAATCATCTGAGAACCTTTCACTTCCCGTAGTGATTTTAACTGAAAGAACACTTAAAAGAACAACCAAAATGGAAATAAGTTGTTTCCATTTATTCACCTTGATTAACATTGCAAATTAGTACTAAGGATATATGATGGCAAATTAAACCATCTAGTTCAGACAATGATGAATTAATCGCTTTTTAAATCCAATTGCATCATAGCTTGATATTTAATCATACAATTTTGACAGTTTGTAAATTACAAGAAATGCATTGTAGATCCTGGTAAAATTGCAACAAAAAAACATTGTTTATTGCAAGTTATAAGCACCTGTCCAGCAAAAATATAGTAAACAGTAAAAGCTGTTAAATGTAAAGACTTGATATAAAAGAAATTCATAAAGGAGAATAAAAGTTCACATTATTACAGAAAACAACAAAAATACGACTGCAATACAGTAAATCTGAGTGAATAGGACACATTAAATAAAAATTACCTTCAATTCTATAAAATCGAAGTAAATAAATAATCAATACAACAAGCAGATTATCACATAAAGATTAATTTGTATTTTGAATGGAGTCAATACTGGGTACATACATTTGTTTATTATAATAGAACAAACCTTCAGGCAACATATACTATGTACTGTACAATGCACTGTTTTATCAGTTGAGGCCCTAGAAATATGCACAATCTGAACCAAGTGATGTGATGTGTAGGCAGAAACTTGCGCACTACACCAGTAAAAGCTATATTCGCCCAGACTTAATTTCACCCTTTACATTTGACCACTGTTTATCGTGTTGTTTATTGATGTTAACTCTAATGATAAATTTGACCTCATTTCAAAGTGCGAAAGTTAAATGTGGCAAAAATAGCCCGGTATACAGTAATGTAAAAGCTGTGCCTTACAAGTGTCAGCTGTAGGGAATTTCCCTATAGCTCAGCGGTACAGCATCGGGCTGGAGAGCCAAGGGTCGCGGGTTCGAGCCCAAGCGACGGCACTATCTTTACCACTATTCCTCGTCCTACTACAGTAATTACACTTGTGATGGAATGTTAGTTCGGATTATAAACTATTAACAGCGTTAAATAAAATTTTAATTCCCTACCTAAAATGAAAATTTATTCTAAAAACGGAAATATTAAGGTTGACACCAAGACAATAGAGTGGTATATTGCAATATAATTAAGTACAGATCATGATAAATTGTAATGTAAAATGTCCAATGAAATACAAACAGCATTACAGAGAGTCACAAACATACATTGTTTGTATTTCTAACCCACATCTGAGGCCAGACAATAAAAAACATGTTCATGAGTATCAATGTACATTAGAAATACACTATAACCTAGATGTACCGCCACCCATTTTACTGCCAAACTCGTATACAAAAAGCATTGCGTATATTATCTAACACCCGTATATTTTAAAAATCAATTGAGAACAAATACACACAATGTCAGTAAAAATAAATTGATATGGCATGGCATCTAGTGGCATCCAGAAAACTAATGTAACTAAAATGACTAGAGAAAGGATATCATTTTGTTTAGCTTATCAATTACAAGTTTTCAATTTCTCACACTACGATCTTTCAATCAAAATGAGGCAATTTAATTACCAGTATGCCTGTTTATTTAAAATCAAGTTCTCCAGTAATACTACCGAATATGTCAAACCAGAAAATGAGTCCCGAATGTCCTTGTCATCTAACAATATTCCATGAATGAGGGAATTTACTATTTAAAGTAACAGCAACCTTGATGTTGGACTCAGAACCTGAGATTGAAGATTTGTGTGAATTTTTACTGAATTTTTACTGAAAATGAGAACAGCTAGAGTGATGACAAACATTCTTTTATTTACACTAATTGTAAACTAGATTTAGGACTTGGCACCCTGAATCAAACCTTATCCTAGGTTTAGTAATACTGAATATTTGTGTCGAACTTCATCAAAATTGTCTTTAAATGAGGATGGTACAGTGATGACTAAATTGACCATGTTTTTTGTCTCAGGACCTTGATATGCGAATAACTTGAGTAAAGTTAAATCCTAATCTGTTCCAAAATGAAAGAAAGAAGATCTATGACAAGCATTTTCTGTCCATAAAAAAGTGACCTTTCTGATTTCTGAACTCTTTTCCGGGTGTTACAGTAATGAACCCTTGCGTGAAGTTTTATCCAACTCCAATCAAGGCCAAAGGTAGCAGACAGAGGACAACTGAATGTGTGACGGACGGATATAAACAATGCTATCTGTCACCTCCCCACTACACTTTCATCGCAGCGCATAAAAGAAAGACAAATCGATGTGAAACAATAACACAAACAATTTTACCAATTCAAATGAACAAATTACTTTCAAATCAACTATTTCCACTGAAATGTATTAATACAAATATCATTTAAAATATTGCAATTAGATAAAAAATCTGAAATTAATGGGAATGAAACATTTTAAATAAAATATAACTAAAGCTTCTATCCCTTTATTACACAAAAGTATGTGAACAAGTGATTTTCTTCCTATCAACTGTTGAATCAGCTTTTAGTGTTTCAGACGGTACAGTCATTTAGGGATTACCATGATGATAGAAATATTATATAGGATTCATTCATACAAGAGATCTGTTTCAATATTGGTAAAATGCTTCAGCCTGACCGATCAGTTTTAGTGTAAAGGAGTAGGTTTCAGTGTAGAAAATATAAAACACTGAGAGGAAAGACTACACTACATCACACTTTGGCAGTAAGTAACAGGCTAGTACATCAGATCTGTATCACTTTGGCAGTAAGTAACAGGCTAGTACATCAGATCTGTATCACTTTGGTTATACATATAGTAAAGAATGGATTCCAATTACTGTGGTTAGCATTTTGTCAGACAAGTATAGATGTACATGTATCAAAAAAGGAACAGGTAGGCTTTCAGTAGACCCTCAAGAGTATGTTGTTGACTCCCCAAAGTGACCTTTGAATGTCCAAGGAAAAATCCATTTGACTTCTGAAATTGTTACATGTCAAGAGTCAGCTAGCTGAAAGCCCTGAAACAGGATATCTTCACCAGTGACCAGTGACACCAGTGTGCCATAGAAATGTGATTTTGTAAAAACAACAGCTGTGAATGATTACAGGAAAACAATGTCTTTGGAATGTTAGTAAGTAGTAAAAATCTGTGTCAGTGCGGGGGGATTGTGCTCCTCTATCCTGCGAAGACCCAACGTATCCTTCGGGGCTTCGTCTGCCTCTCTTTGTAGGTGTCGGACAAACTTGCGCCTCCATTGTGTGGCAAGAATAACAGCACTGATGTCATCTTCAGATCCATCTTCAGGCATAACCAGGCCCTGTCAACACCAAGGTTTACATAAATTACTAGAGACCTTGATCCTCCACAAATTATCCTGATCAATATTTGATGCATTGAGGAGATTAAACACAATTTTCAAGGAATGTAAATATTAGTTGTCAGCACACCGGTACTGACCTTTCTCCAACTTAGCATTTTTGACATCACAAAGTACATCATTATACAACCTTTCTCAAACTTAGCCTTTTTTTAACATCACAAAGTAAATTATCTTACAATTATGGGAGCCAAATTTTTAACATATGTCTGTAGACAAAGTCTTCAATATATAACATTTGTATTAAGAATTTTTTTACTTTGATCTTCCAGCTGGGACAATGCTGATATGAAACTTTCAGTGAATTGATGAAAAAATACAACTACCAAATATTATTATTAACAAGAATTACGCGTAATTATATGTGTCACCTGTCCCGCTTTGTCAATATAATAAGCATTTGACTTGAGTTTTTTAGCAAAAAAATACAGAAATCGTTGAAATGCTAGTAGAGAGTGTAATGCATTCAGCTATACATCCCATGATACACATATGACCCAAGTTTGGTTGCTCTAGCATTTATACTTTGTCAGAAACAGCCTAATATGTAAGAGCAAAACGCAAAACCTTAATGTTGAGTTTATAAGTCCAGAAATTTGAGTTTTTTTAACAAGAAAATGCAGAAATCAATGAAATGTTTTTAGTGCAGTAGGCTCCACTACCCATGCTTCATCTATGATCAAGGTTTTGTTGGTGTAGCTTTGTCAGAAACAGAGCTAAACGCAAAACCTTAACATTGTTGACGCCGCCATCGGAAAAGCAGCGCCTATGTGTCTTTCCAACATCCGTCGTAGGCGACACAAAAATTAAAGATTGTTTCATAAAACATCTGAGACAAATGTCTTTACTAGAAAATGGCTTATATGCTTTTTTTTAAATATTAAATAGAAATCACACACAAACCTTGACACACACAGTCTCTGCAGCTTTGATTGTCTGTGTGACGACCTTCATCAGGTTCTGTGCATTTTGTATCAGAATCTTATCTGCCTGTAAATGTATAATGATAATTATAAATCCTTTGTACAATACATAGTTAACCATTACATCTGTGATACTGGAAAGGACCAAGGTAACTTGTTAAGATTGGTTGTCAGATCACTAAGAGATTATTCCAATGTTGAAGTGTACTGTATATTGATAGTACCCATATTTTGATTTATTGTATATTATTAATATTACCCCCCTTTATACATCCACAGGTAAGTGTACTGTATATCGATAGTACCCATACTTTGATTTATTGTATAGTATTAATATTACCCCCCTTTATTCATCCACAGGTAAGTGTACTGTATATCGATAGTACACTATATTTGCAGAAAAACACACAAAATCCGAACTCTGCACACTGTTTCCCTTCTGTAAGAGGTTTACATAAGGACATGTTTTTCATACCAAATATCCCCACAACACTACTACACGGAGAATAACACTTTTTATTTTGAATTTAGGCTATAATGATTTCGTTTCTGTAAAAATTGAAACAAAAATTTTCTTTTTAATTTAAGCTATAATGATTTCATTTCTGTAAAAATTGAAACAAAAGTTTTAACTCTTTTTAGTTTCTTTCAGTCTATAACACTATCACAAGGTTTTTCCTGACTATGGAATCACCGCCAAACTTTCATATTTTTTTTTATACTTTTGTTGCAAGGAATGAGGGAATTTTGTAAGTCCGTCTCATGATAAAACATCTGTAAGTAAAATTAACAAATACCAAAAATAGCCTAAATTAATAAGGCAGAAAAAAACTCATTAATATGTACATCTTTGTATTCCCATATACACCTGGGAAAAGGCCTTTAACATGTACTTCCAGAGAGGTCTCTATTTGATGTAGAATTTTAATATAATGGTTGTAGAAAGGTTACTGAGCAGTTCTTGTAATTAATATTGAATAATTCTTAATTACTGTACTAAGCATTAGATATTTCTATTTCGCACATTTTAATACAGCCTAGTATAAGTTTTAAGGTCACTACTACAACAGTGTCACATATCTACAAATGCTGTGTTTGATTTCACTATATGTACCAGCCTAGTATAAGTTTTAAGGTCACTACTACAACAGTGTCACATATCTACAAATACTGTGTTTGATTTCACTATATGTTAGTACCTATCTACACCAAACAGCACAAGCAGTACAGTGATAAAAGCAGAAACATGAACAGTACAATCTCAGAGTAATAATATCTATTAATGTCGAAAATTACATCCCATGAAGTTTCATCCAATTTTCTTTTGTGGTCGGAGCTAGTGCTCTTTGTTCAATAAAGTAAACAATTGCATTAGATTTTTAATTTCTAACTGTGACCTTTAAGCCTGACATTGTCGATGTCAGTATCTTAGAGTGATGCCACACAACATTAGTATACAGTATGTACATAGCAGATGTCTTTCATCTGTCACCAATTTACCTGTTCTAGTCCACACAAGCTTAAGTTCTGGTACATCTTTCTACCATACACTGATGTTATATAATCAGGAATGGGTATATCCTTCTTTGTCTTATACTTACTCAGGAGTTTTGATACGATCATTTACTACAGACTTTTTTTATAGGCAACACACAAAGAGAAGCACATAGTAGAACGAGCAACAGTTTTAGCACAAATACACAAAATTAAAAAATTACACACAATTCAAAGTGAAAGTCAGCACAAAGCCAGAAATGTGCCTCTTTGATCTTAATCTAGGTGCAAATCTTAAACCACACAAGTAGCAAAACAACATATTTTTTAAACTGATACTGTAAAATGTTGTAAAGTTTACTATATTAAAATGTTAAACATACGTAAAGTTTAAATTGTTATAAAATTGTGCACACTTTCAACCACAGAATGAGAAGCAGTAACAGCTAAAAAGGTGTTTTTTGTCCTATTTTTAAACAATGTATTAGTATACCCCACTCCATTCATCAAAACAAGCAGCCAACAGCTAGCAAAATGTCCGAGAGCAAGATGATTTTGAAAATCTCTTCTACACACATGAAATGCTAAGAAACACACAGTATCACAGCTAAACATTCAGATGTTGTACCTGTTCAGCAGAGACGAGAGGACAGTCGACAATTTCCTTCAATACAGAGGCATTTAAGTGTAGTACAAAACTTACTCTATGTACATAACTTCATCAAAGAAAGTTGTCGTTTTTGTACATTTCACTATATACTGTAACAATATAACATAATGATGAAGTATGCGATAGAAAAATAGTGTCAAACACATTCTCATCCTTCAACCATGTAATGACTGGGCTTAAGGATTTTTATGTTCATGTCCTTGTTTTATTCATTATAGTGAACAAGAAATTCCCCTTTTTTGCCCAAGGCAAATGAGAAAGGTGATAATGTTCTCCATGCATGTAACCTACTGTCAAACTTCGTTAATCCAGGTTTTATTAATTTGAAAACTCATAATCCAGATGCCCATGGATAGTTCTTTCCAATAAATTTCCACAACAGTATAGTACTTGTTTAATCAATGACTTCAGGTTCAATATCAAAAGAGTTTCATTTTAACAGTTGGTAACAATCCACATAAAAACCGTTTTATCTGTGTCACGTAGCCACCTTTGAAAACACTTGAGTGTGCGACAAAGCACTACCATTTTTGTTAACATAAAGAAGATGTCCCGTGAAATTATATTTACAAAGTTGTCATTTTCTTGTAATATTAGAAATAAACATGAATTAATCCAAAAATCCTGTTTCATTGATCAGGATGTTTCTTCTCTGGGAACGAAAGTGTTTAGATTGATGAGGTTTGTAGGTAGTTTAAACCCTACGCTGACCACTTGAAGATACGGACTGTTGAGATATGGATTTGGTAAGGAAGAAGGTTTCAAAGAAAACCTACATTAGGAAATTCTACAGATAAATGTACAAACAGGGTGTGTTTAGAGCCTTAGATTTAATGTTTTGTATTGATATTTCTCATGCCTAATGATAAGTTACACAGAAATGTTAAAGGAGTAACATTCTGAAAAAATATATATTTTCCTGTTAATTCACAAAAAGAGATGTCATGATTTCTATGAAGTTGTGAATACTTAATCCATTACAGTTACACAAGGTACATGTTGGTGTTCCTCTCATAACACTAGCTCCTTGCAAATAATTGTTTGATAAAATGATTGTGAAATAATTCTATGGAAAAATATTTGTATTCGTGACAACGGGGTGATTTACAGTATTAGCCAGCTAGTCAGACGGACGGTATAAATACATACGTTCTTGTCCTCAGGGGAGGCCATCTGGACACTGGAGATGATACTTAGCTGGGTACTGACAGTGGGTATCTGATCTGCATAAAACATCAGGTCTTTGGCAAACCTGAAATCAACACACATTTATATGGTTCAAGTACTATGAACTTGATTGTCTTCATAAAGATAATGACATAATCTACACAGACTTTTTAGGACAAAAATCATCCACTTTTCGAGCACTTTTATACAATTTTTGGAAAAAGGGTGAGATCTTCTGTTTTAAGTGTATGCATACTGTTATATTGAATTTTTTAAATGATTTAAAATAATCCGTTAACATTTCATGATCATTTCAATATCAAAACTTTAAAACAGTTCTTAAAAAAAACACAAGTTGATTTTCTCCAGTATAGTCTTAATATACTGTAATATACAACAATTTTCAGGGATATTGAGCAAATTCCAGCATTTTTCCAAGATTCAGCTATTTTCCAGTAAGTTTAATAAGAACTTTTCATTTCAAGCACTGATCTCAATTCCAACACATTTCATGGTCCATATCTCAACCATGTAATAGTATTCACATTCTGAAATCTTAAAACTTATGAGGACTAATTTGAATTCAAAATCTTGTTATGAAAGGACAGATTTGTGCCATAAGTTGCTATTATACTGACTACAATAAGATGTTTATTCATGAAATTGAAGTTAAAAATTATATTTAGGTTATTTAACAAATAAAATTGAAAGCAAATCCTAAACCCACCTTTTCTCTACACAATATTTGGCTAAAATCTTCACAAACTTCCTCATTTTTTGCCCATTCTCTGCTACTGCTTTGGCAGTCTGTGTCATCTCTATATGATTCTGGAAAAAGAAATAATGACAGTCTTTGTTCATAAGAACGTCACAGTTTGAATAACAAAACTCAAATATAAAATATCTGCGTTGATTTTTTAAAGTAGCACTCCTCCATGCATTTACATAAAACAGGTAAGTAACACCTAATTTACAATTCTATATTTCATAGTAAACTTTTTCAGTTATAAGTTGCATGCAACTGTGAATTGAAATCAAAGAAATACGGTTGGAAACACTCCCTTCATAGAAATTACTAAAAATCACTGACTGGGCAGTCTACACACCACTAACACTCCCTTCATAGAAATTACTAAAACTCACTGACTGGGCAGTCTACACACCACTAGAACATCACTAACACTCCCTTCATAGAAATTACTAAAACTCACTGACTGGGCAGTCTACACACTGGGCAGTCTACACACCACTAAAACTCACTGACTGGACAGTCTTCACACTGGGCAGTCTACACACCACTAACACTCACTGACTGGGCAGTCTACACACCACTAAAACTCACTGACTAGGCAGTCTACACATCACTAAAACTCACCGACTAGGCAGTCTACACACTGGGCAGTCTACACACCACTAAAACTCACTGACTGGGCAGTCTACACATCACTAACACTCCCTTCATAGAAATTACTAAAACTCACTGACTGGGCAGTCTACACACCACTAACACTCACTGACTGGGCAGTCTACACATCACTAAAACTCACAGACTGGGTAGTCTACACATCACTAAAACTAACTGACTAGGCAGTCTACACATCACTAAAACTCACAGACTGGGCAGTCTACACACCACTTAAACTCACTGACGGGGCAGTCTACGCACCACTAACACTCACTGACTGGGCAGTCCACACATCACTAACGCGCCCTTCATAGAAATTACTAAAACTCACTGACCGGGCAGTCTACACACCACTAAAACTCAGTGACTGGGCAGTCTACACACCACTAAACCTCACTGACTGGGCAGTCTACACACCACTAGAACATCACTAACACTCCCTTCATAGAAAATACTAAAACTCACTGACTGGGCAGTCTCCACACCACTAAAACTCACTGGCTGGGCAGTCTACACATCACTAAAACTAACTGACTGGGCAGTCTACACATCACTAACACTCACTGACTGGGCAGTCTACACGCTGGGCAGTCTACACGCCACTAAAACTCACTGACTGGGCAGTCTCCACACCACTAACACTCACTGACTGGGCAGTCTACACACCGGGCAGTCTACACGCCACGAAAACCCACTGACTGGGCAGTCTACACACCACTAGAACATCACTAACACTCCCTTCATAGAAAATACTAAAACTCACTGACTGGGCAGTCTCCACACCACTAAAACTCACTGACTGGGCCGTCTACACACCACTAAAACTCACTGACTTGGCAGTCTACACATCACTAAAACTCACAGACTGGGCAGTCTACACATCACTAAAACTCACAGACTGGGCAGTCTACACATCACTAACACCCCCTTCATAGAAATTACTAAAACTCCCTGACTGGGCAGTCTACACATCACTAACACTCCCGTCATAGAAATTACTAAAACTCACTGACCGGGCAGTCTACACACCACTAAAACTCACTAACTGGGCAGTCTACCCATCCCTAACACTCCCTTCATAGAAATTACTAAATCTCACTGACTGGGCAGTCTACACACCACTAAAACTCACTGACTGATTAGTCTACACATCACTAAAACTCACTGACTGGGCAGTCTACACATCACTAAAACTCACTGCCTGGGCAGTCTACACACCACTAACACTCACTGACTGATCAGTCTACGCATCACTAAAACTCACTGACTGGGCAGTATACACACCACTAAAACTCACTGACTTGGCAGTCTACACACCACTAAAACTCACTGACTGGGCAGTCTTCACACTGGGCAGTCTACACACCACTAACACTCACTGACTGATCAGTCTACACATCACTAAAACTCACTGACTGGGCAGTCTACACACCACTAACACTCACTGACTGATCAGTCTACGCATCACTAAAACTCACTGACTGGGCAGGCTACACACTGGGCAGGCTACACATCACTAAAACTCACTGACTGGACAGTCTACATATCACTAAAACTCACTGACTGGGCAGTCTTCACACCACTAAAACTCACTGACTGGGCAGCCTACACATCACTAAAACTCACTGACTGGGCAGCCTTCACACTGGGCAATCTACACACCACTAACACTCACTGACTGATCAGTCTACACATCACAAAAACTCACAGACTGGGCAGTCTACACATCACTAAAACTCTCTTACTGGGCAGTCTACTCACCACTAAAACTCACTGACTGGGCAGCCTACACATCACTAAAACTCACTGACTGGTCAGTCTACTCACCACTAAAACTCACTGACTAGGCAGTCTACACAGCACTAAAACTCACTGCCTGGGCAGTCTACACATCACTAAAACTCTCTTACTGGGCAGTCTACTCACCACTAAAACTCACTGACTAGGCAGTCTACACAACACTAAAACTCACTGACTGGGCAGTCTCCATTCCAATCACACTCACTGATACTTATTGCTCTCCTTCTACACATCACTAAAACTCACTGACTGGACAGTCTACACACCACTAAAACTCACTGACTTGGCAGTCTACACATCACTAAAACTCACCGACTAGGCAGTCTACACACTGAGCAGTCTACACATCACTAAAACTCACTGCCTGGGCAGTCTACACACTGGGCAGTCTATACACCACTAACACTCACTGACTGGGCAGTCTCCACACCACTAAAACTCACTGACTGATCAGTCTACACATCACAAAAACTCACAGACTGGGCAGTCTACACATCACTACACTCACTGACTGGGCAGTCTACACATCACAAAACCTCACAGACTGGGCAGTCTACACATCACTAAAACGCACTGACTGGGCAGTCTACACACCACTCAAACTCTCTGACTGGGCAGTCTTCACACTGGGCAGTCTACACAACACTAAAACTCACCGACTAGGCAGTCTACACACTGGTCAGTCTACACATCACTAAAACTCACTGACTGGGCCGTCTACACATCACTAAAACTCACTGACTGGGCAGCCTACACATCACTAAAACTCACTGACTGGTCAGTCTCCATTCCAACAACACTCACTGATACTTATTGCTCTCCTTCTACACATCACTAAAACTCACTGACTGGTCAGTCTCCATTCCAACAACACTCACTGATACTTATTGCTCTCCTTATCATTTAATCTCACTGTGATTTGTCCTTCTCCCTGACTGTCCTCCATCCTCACTGACTGGGCAGTCTACACATCACAAAAACTCACAGACTGGGCAGTCCACACATCCCTAAAACTCACTGACTATGCAGTCTACACACTGGGCAGTCTACACACCACTAAAACTCGCTGACTAGGCAGTCTACACATCACTAAAACTCACGGACTGGGCAGCCTCCATTCCAATAACACTCACTGATACTACTGGGCAGTCTACACATCACTAAAACTCACGGACTGGGCAGCCTCCATTCCAATAACACTCACTGATACTTATTGCTCTCCTTCTACACATCACTAAAACTCACTGACTGGTCAGTCTACACACCACTAAAACTCAATGACTGGGCAGTCTACACATCACTAAACTCACTGACTGGGCAGTCTCCATTCCAATCACACTCACTGATACTTATTGCTCTCCTTATGATTTAAACTCACTGTGATTTGTCCTTCTCCCTGACTGTACTCCATCCTCACTGACTGGGCAGTCTACACATCACGAAAACTCACTGACTGGGCAGTCTACACACCGGGAAGTCTACCCATCACTAAAACTCACTGACTGGGCAGGCTACACACTGGGCAGGCTACACATCACTAAAACTCACTGACTGGACAGTCTACACACCACTAAAACTCACTGACTTGGCAGTCTACACATCACTAAAACTCACCGACTGGGCAGTCTACACACCACTAAAACTCACTGACGAGGCAGTCTACACATCACTAAAACTCGCTGACCCGGCAGTCTACACACCACTAAAACTCACTGGCTGGGCAGTCTACACATCACTAAAACTTCCTGACTGGGCAGTCTACACACTGGGCAGTCCACACATCACTAAAACTCACTGACTGGGCCGTCTACACATCACAAAAACTCACAGACTGGGCAGGCTACACATCACTAAAACTCACTGACTGGTCAGTCTACTCACCACTAAAACTCACTGACTAGGCAGTCTACACAACACTAAAACTCACCGACTAGGCAGTCTACACACTGAGCAGTCTACACATCACTAAAACTCACTGACTGGGCAGTCTCCATTCCAATAACACTCACTGATACTTATTGCTCTCCTTATCATTTAAACTCACTGTGATTTGTCCTTCTCCCTGACTGTACTCCATCATGTGTTGTAGCTGCTTTGACATTTCCTTGGCAACCTGAACAATTGGGTTGCCTTCATCCTCCCACTGGTCTGCCTCTTTTTGAAGATACTTAGCGGCAGCCTTTAAAAAAATATTTTATTGATTAGCTGTTATGTGGTTTATTAAAAGTGTTACCAGCACTTTATCTAATTTCAATATCAGTTATCAATATATATAATGATTTAAAAAGTAAATTTAATCATTTAAATTCTCAACCTTAAAACCTCATATGTAAAATTACCATTAACTTTTTAAGTGCATTTTATAGGGTTTACTATTGTATTGAGCTATCAACATTTATCTTTTTCTTTGTATATATCTCAAATATTAAGTCTTCTTTCCATTCTTTTGTATTCTATAAACATTCCATTCCATTCCTTTGTATTCTTATAAACATTCCATTCCTTTGTATTCTTATAAACATTCCATTCCATTCCTTTGTATTCTTATAAACATTCCATTCCATTCCTTTGTATTCTTATTATCATGACTTTCCATTCCTTTGTATTCTTATAAACATGATAATTTAAATATAGTATTACATGTTTTCTGTTTTATAGAATAAACAGAAAATATCATTTGATAAAATTTTGTATCCTGAACTCAAAACTGCATCCCTACCAGAATAGCGTTGGAGGGTCTATATGGGGATGATGTCTGTCTCGCCTTTGGCTGGGGGAGCTGGCCTAGAGTTTCCTCGTCACGCCTATCACTGCATTATACAAAGTAACATTATACACAAACAGCACACACCTTTTCTAATTAGCCATTAACACACAACTCTGTGTGCCAGAACACTCATATTCCTAGTGTTTAAAAAAGAAATTTGAATGAATTTTGGAATATGAAAACGTCCCAATGAAAAATCCCACATTTTGAAGTATTGTAAGAAGGGTATTTTTTCTTGACAATATAATGCACTATTATCAATTATCATAGTAAGACGTTTTTTAACACAGCAGTAATTAATTTGTAAGATGTATACATCATCTGGCTTTTAAAATATAACAATAACAATTCGGAAATTTTGATTTTTCTTTTCTTTAAAATTAGCTCAATTACTAATATACTGTGTCACCAAGAATCGTTTAAGTTGTGGTTTGTCGAAACCAACAAGTTTCAATGATTCCTTAAACGGATAAAAACAATGATGATACCAAAAGGACTTCTGTCTGATTTCTTCAAAAACAACATTTACATTTTCTGTACTATTTGGTTTTTACAGATTTCTGTACTGTTTGGTTTTTACAGATTTCTGTACTGTTTGTTTTTTTCAGATCAAAAACCTCAAAAACAAAATTTCTACACATTTGGAACTGGTCCATGCTTATTACCTTGTAACACGAAGCAATTCTTCATGAACATTTTGGAATGTGACCTTGGCTGGCTTAAAATCATCCTCTTTTTGCGTTTCTGTGACCTCCATGATCCCCGAAGGTCGAGCACTTGCAGCTGTAACACTGAGCAGTGATTGGTTGTTGCTAGTAATTTTATCATTGACCTCTTCTTTATCAGTATCTTTAACTTGTGGAGTGATGACAATGGTCGCTGTGAAGTCCGGAGCACAGGAAGTGACTCCACCAACTTCCTCTACATTCAGGAGTCGACAGACCTCTGTAGATTACAAAACACATTTGTGTAGATTTCTAATAGATGTGTATTATACCTTTGTGGATGCAGATAAAAAACAAAAACACATTTGATATGTACAGCTCTGTAGGTAATAATATTTACTGAACCGGTTCATAATGGGAACTTGTTAGTAATTATCTTTTACGAGACCATTTACCAGGGCTGGAGACCACCTTCCTTAAACTAGAACAATAGTAGGTCAGCATGGGCCCTGCCATGTGCCCAACCATAACCTACATGGTCTATTTTTAGAGACTGACCTTGACCTTGACCTTAAAAATATATACCCCCCTTTCATATCAACATATCACAGTGAATTACCATGTCAAATTTCAGAAAGATTTGTCTATTCGATTCTGAGATAATCTTTTCGTAATCTCCAGAAACAAAAGCATTAACTGAAGGACAGACAGACGGACACTCACAGTAATAACTATAGTATAGTATCTCCAACGTAAGGCCCTAACTATCGCTGGTTTGAGCATTTTGTTAGCACAGCTGGAAACACTTATGACCACAGCTGGCTATAAATTTACTATCATTGACTATGCCTGGCTGTTAACCCCTTACCTTTGACCAGTGCTGGCTTTAAACCCATTACCTTTAACCAGGGCTGGCTGTAAACCCCTTACCTTTGACCAGTGCTGGCTTTAAACCCATTACCTTTAACCAGGGCCGGCTGTAAACCCCTTACCTTTGACCAGTGCTGGCTTTAAACCCATTACCTTCAACCAGGGCTGGCTGTAAACCCCTTACCTTTGACCAGGGCTGGCTGTAAACCCATTACCTTTGACCAGGGCCGGATTTAAACCCATTACCTTTAACCAGGGCTGGCTGTAAACCCCTTACCTTTGACCAGGGCCGGCTGTATATCAGTGACCTGTTGTAGTAAGACCACCAGCTGTCGGACCTTGGCTGCCCATCTGAGCCGTTGTCGGGACAGTTCCTTCAGATCTACACTGCCACTGCCTACAAATCATACAGTAATAATTAGATACAAAACCAAAAAAAATAACCACATCCTTAATTAAAGGATAAACATATTTTTCAATGTAGTCCCATTTTACCTCCTTGACCAGATCTAGAGATCATAAAACGATCTTAAGTCTTAAATCGTCTTAAGATTTGACTTAACCAATTACAGACGCCATAAAAAGTGACGCCATATGTGATTGGCTATGCAAAAACTTCAGTCCATGATTGTTTCATGATTCCGGAGTCAGATGATGTTAAATGTCTTAGCTCGGTATCAAAACGGTTTACAGATATACAGTTTCCAACTGATATATCTGACATGAAAATGAAAAGTTTGTGATGTAAAGGAAATGACATCAACAAAAGTAATATCATGAGAAAATGAACTGTAAGATTTTAAAGTACCGGTAAGTTGATAAGCCTTGATTCTTACCTGTAAGATTTTTCAGTGTATTAATCAGTCCAGGTGCTATGCCTGTAATATCGTCCAGAGATTTGCGGATCGCCGACCGCTTGCTGACGTCTGTGGATAGCTGAATTCCCTGCAGTGTTTTTTGGCGAAGTGTGACCATCCCACGACTAAAGGAGCTAATCTGGTCCTGACAGTCAGCCATGCTTCGTTGTCTTTGGGCCTCTGAAGTTTTAAAGCAGCAAATCCAACTCAATACACAGCATTATCTACACAGTATTACATAGACTGTTGCGGCTCATTATCATGCCTCTCCTAAAATCTCTTAATCCCATTCCCTCATGTATGCCATATTTTGATAAATACACTAAATATTACATGTTTTGGAGAATTTCTGCACTCACTCAATGTCATTACTAAACAAGCTACTTTCAAACAAATTGTAACATTACCTGTTTTAGAGATTTTGGCAGAAAACACTGCATCTACGATTTTGTTGATGCCCGCAGCAGTTAGTGTGGTCTGGGTCTGTATCAGTTCCATACATTTTAAAGCCTGAAACAGAACATTGAGGCTGATAAACAGAAATCTGACAGTAGACAAAGTGTAATCACTATATACATGTATACAGTGAACTCTGTTAATTTTGAGTCTTTTTAAATAACGCTATTTCTGTTTTGTTTTATATAATTCAGTAAATGTTACTAGTATTTTTGGATTATATTTTCTGGAGACAATGATGTATAAACTGACTGCCGTATAAGTATTTACCTTGGTGACCCACTGTGCAGACAGGATCCGTAATTTCTGTTGAGAGAAAGTGACAATAACACCACTACCAGGAGGCTGAGATAAAAGACGCCGGGCCTCCTCGTGTACGACCCTCAGATGTTGGTACAGAACAGTGGCCTCCTGGGACATCCTCGTGTCACTGATAATAACAAGGAAGCCATAGATCACATCAAATAGTATGCAGTTATCTATTTCAATTTAATACTATGTTCAGCAATTTAATTGTAACTTTCATAGAGAATTACCTGTGTGCTTATATAACTCTTATATACGAGAGCTGTGTGCTATCAACACTTTTATATGGTTCGGAATGTTGGCGGATGACAGAGGAAGACTTGTTGAAATTGTCAACATTTCACACAACCAGACTGACAAAAATTCTGAAGATCTTCTGGCCAAGAGTAATCTCCAATGATGATGAACTGATGACACAGTGCAACAAGGAGAGTATGAGAGACATCATCAGGAAGAGACGCTGGAGGTGGATTGGACATGTGCTAAGGAGGGAAGGTGACTCCATCACAAAGGTTGCAGTACACTGGACTCCTGAAGGTAAACAGAAGAGGACGCCCCAAAACCACATGGCGAGGCACAGTGGAAACAAAGCTCAGTGACATGATCACAGCTGGGGAACTATCGAGCGATTAGCAAAGGATCGACAGGTGTGGAGGAACTTCGCTGCTGCCCTAAACGCCACCGGGCGTAATAGGCAGTAAGTTAGTTATATTACTCTTAGAGCCAAATACCTTAAAAGTTCTCCTTGTTTTCATATTAAAAAAGTCTTTTGATGATTTTTTCTTTTTATGATAATCTTTTGAGTTTTTGTTCTTGATTGAAATCCTTGTTACAACTGTAATTATCAAAACAGACTAGCTACTTCAGTTCACACAGAAACAAAAAACTGATACAACTGCCAGTGATAATATAGGGTTATTCTAGAGGCAAAGATTTGAGAGGAACTAAATCTGTGGAGGGGGCTAATAAGTTATCTAGTACAAAATGTTTTTACTTTAATAACGGTTAAGTGTGACCTTTGACCCTTTAACTTTGACCAATCACTAGCAAAATGGAATCAGGTGTAGAACTTGATGTTACCATGTAAATATAATCTAAATCTGATGAGGTATTTCTGAGATATGGTGTACCCTAGTTTTTGTATTTAAAAGTTGTCATGCTTGACATTTGAACTTTCAACATAAACCCCACCTCCATAACTTTGGGCGTAAAATAACAGTGGGTGATGGGGTGTCACAAATAAGTGCCTCCACCAATATTCATATGTGGAACAGCCCTTATTGCGCAAGGTGAATAATTGTATAATATTTCATTCTCATTTCAAAATATTCATCAAACAAATTCTACTATAACTGGTATTAATCAAGAAACTAGAAATATTTGATTTTCTATAGGCACACATATCTGTATGTAGCTACCCCTGTAGATGTGGTCTAACAGATAGTTTGTATTTACACTATCTGTATGTAGCTACCCTTGTAGATGTGGTCTAACAGATAGTTTGTATTTACCCTATCTGTATTTAGCTACCCCTGTAGATGTGGTCTAACATATAGTTTGTATTTACCCTATCTGTATGTAGCTACCCTTGTAGATGTGGTCTAACAGATAGTTTGTATTTACACTATCTGTATGTAGCTACCCTTGTAGATGTGGTCTAACAGATAGTTTGTATTTACACTATCTGTATGTAGCTACCCTTGTAGATGTGGTCTAACAGATAGTTTGTATTTACCCTATCTGTATGTAGCTACACCTGTAGATGTGGTCTAACAGATAGTTTGTATTTACACTATCTGTATGTAGCTACCCCTGTAGATGTGGTATAACAGATAGTTTGTTTTTACCCTATCTGTATGTAGCTACCCCTGTAGATGTCGTCTAACAGATAGTTTGTATTTTCCCTATCTGTATGTAGCTACCCCTGTAGATGTGGACTAACAGATAGTTTGTTTTTACCCTATCTGTATGTAGCTACCCCTGTAGATGGGGTCTAACAGATAGTTTGTATTTACCCTATCTGTATGTAGTTACCCCTGTAGATGTGGTCTAACAGATAGTTTGTGTTTACCCTATCTGTATGTAGCTACCCCTGTAGATGGGGTCTAACAGATAGTTTGTATTTACCCTATCTGTATGGAGCTACCCCTGTAGATGTGGTCTAACAGATAGTTCGTATTTACCCTATCTGTATGTAGCTACCCCTGTAGATGGGGTCTAACAGATAGTTTGTATTTACCCTATCTGTATGCATGTACCCCTGTAGATGTGGTCTAACAGATAGTTTGTGTTTACCCTATCGGTATGTAGCTACCCCTGTAGATGTGGTCTAACAGGTAGTTTGTTTTTACCCTATCTGTATGGGGCTACCCCTGTAGATGTGGTCTAACAGATAGTTTGTGTTTACCCTATCGGTATGTAGCTACCCCTGTAGATGTGGTCTAACAGGTAGTTTGTTTTTACCCTATCTGTATGGGGCTACCCCTGTAGATGTGGTCTAACAGATAGTTTGTATTTACCCTAAAGCGACACAATTCAGGAGATCTTTCAGAGTGTCGTTCTCCACTTGAAGGTGATTGACAATCTCAACATCCTTAGTGGGCGTGGCATCTGTGGAGGGCCACACCCCTGCCTCTCGTCCAAGCTGGTGAAGATCAGCAACCAAGCTGTCCAGTCCAGACAACACACTGTACACCCTTACTGCCCAGTCCCGGCCTAATTCTGACACATGGTTCTTTTCCTCTCGTGTTGCTAAAAATATAGGTATAATTCTTTTATTCAATCTATATTTTCTGTCTGTTTCAGAGTTCCTTGAAGGTATAAAATTTCCCATGTTTGATCACATGATAAAGGAAACAAATGTTGATTTTTCTTTTTATTCAGGCTCTTGTTGATTGAAAGTTAAAATATAATGAATGTGATATCTTTTACAATTCTAATAATGACATAAAATTGAAACAAAGTCAAGAAAATGTCATCACATGATTTGGTTTGGTTTATAAGGATTAGGGTCCTATTAACATCTAAGGTAACTTAAGGATGTGCATTCATGTGTGTAATATATCCATGTATACTGGAGCCGTTTAATGTTGGTGTATTTGCTTCCCTGAGAGAGCGTGAATCTGATGCTGATTTTAGAGTGCTATCTCACTGAAATACCATGCTGAAGGTACCCAGCACATTCCTCCACCTTGTCACACATACTTGTTAACTGTGTCAGTGTGTATTGTGACACCATGATTGTAACAAGGGAATATGAGCCGATCAAAATCACACTGGGTCAAAATTGTGTGTATTTATTATTCTTTTTTTCATCTAAATTTGATAAAATCTGGTCAAGCTTACCTGCATAGGATATCATTTCTGCTGTAGTTGCCATAGTTACAGTAAGATTTTCAAGCTCATCTTTGTCTTCTAGAAGCTTTGAGACCCTATTTTGGTCCTTGACATGAGGATCCTGTCCAAACATTGAGACGAGCTCCAGGATATCTAACATTGCCTTCTGGTGGCTGTACAGCACCACCACCTACAAATTTCAACAAAAATCTCTTACATCTTTTTGTACGATACTTCATTACGATTGGTATATGTCTCCTGCACAAATTGGAATTTCTAATTTCTCCATTTTTTATGCAGTAATATTTTGGGTGTTTTAATTTAAAGATGTAATAAATAGAAAATTTAATGAATTTTCTGTAGAATACAATATATATTTATGAGTATGGCAGACTACTGATATTTATCAAGAATGTGAAGCACACACTCTGCCATAAACATTTCCTAATAATCTTTATTTTCAACCTGTTTACTTGGACAAATCACATATACAGTGTATATCTATTTACCTACCAAGTTTATCTACTTCCTTACACTAGTCATCGTAACTGGACAGATTAATCTGATAGTACTAGCTTGCAGGTAACTAGTTTAAACATGATTTACCTGTTTACTGAGTAGATCAGCGTTCCTATCCACCACAGCCTTGTGCACTTTGTCTGCGATCACCTTCCAGCGTTCCACCGTCACATCCACAAATATCCTCAGCTTTTCCACCTTCACCACACACATTTATAATCAAACTACATTGATATATTGTAATCACATCCACAAATATTTCAGCTGATCTAAGTGCACCAACATCTGTATATATATACAAAGAGCAGTTCATTATTGTGTACGATATCAATTACCAGGTATGTTCATTTCTAATAGTAGCCACAGAAATAATATTTCTCAAAATCAATTTAATAAAAATAATCTGATTTTTTTTTATTGCACCTTTATCACAGTACAAGATATATGAGAAAATGTCCGGTAATAATCTGTCTACAGGTATATGTACCTCACATTTCAGTTTAACTTTTGGCATGCACTTCACTATTGGTAATAATTTCAAGACATTTAAAGCTCTTTGTGATATTTTATCAATAAACATTTGACAAGGATCTGCTTTATTTGACATCTAAAATCTCCATTGTCACTAACCAAAAATTCTTTTTAATTTACAGATACTTGTCTCACGATTCCTTTTCAAAAGCAGTCTGTCTAATTACCTTACTTGACCATTCCTCAACAAGAGCAGTTTGTCTAATTACCTTACTTGACCATTCTTCAACAAGAGCAGTTTGTCTAATTACCTTACTTGACCATTCCTCAACAAAAGCAGTCTGTCTAATTACCTTACTTGACCATTCCTCAACAAGAGCAGTTTGTCTAATTACCTTACTTGACCATTCCTCAACAAGAGCAGTCAGTTTGGCTGCCTCTTCCTTGTCACCATGGGCCACAAATTTGGCCTTGTCCAGAATCTGAGGGGTCAAAGTGTCCACCTCATAGCCCAACGCCTTGTTTACCCTGTATAAACAGGACAATCACGAGAACAGTGTGAAATTGCAGGCATAGCTTGTTTTTGTTATGGAACAAACTATTTATTAATGAATCACTACATTTTTTTAAAGAAAAATTGAATATGAAAAAGGATATGTATTATAGTGAACAAATATAAAGACATATAGCCTTGACATTGTTTCCAATACAGAGGAGGAGTTATAGTCAATGACATAAATAGGATTTATACAACAATTTGGCACAAATAGTCAAGCAATATTCGAACCTTCAGGTATTAAGAGACTGATCTTTAATATTTTTATTCAAATGTCACTAGTTTTCACTTTGTACTTTCTGTATGTAATTGATCTGGAAAAATATTCATTCTCATCTGAAAGACTACAATTAAATCTCTTTTTATGTTTCCATAGAATTCAACAATTTTGTTCAAGGAAAAATAAGCTCTAGGACCAGCACAGCCTTTCCTATCGCAACTGGAACAGTGACAGGTCAGCAAGGGTCTGACCTTGTGCCTAACCGTATCCCACCCCTATGGTCTTTTGTTTTAAGTAATAATGACCTTGATTACCTCTGATATTATTAATCTCCATATATACGCGTATGTTTATCACAGTGCATCATCATGTCAACTTTAAAAAAAAGATCAGTCATTTGGATTTTGAGATTATCTCTGAAAATTAAAGTATGGACAGACAGACAAACGACAGACAGATGGACACCATGAGTACCATATAGGGCACCTGTATCTCCAATGGGGATAGGGGCGGGGGGGGGTCTTAAAATGAAATCAGAACTTTTCAGGGCCTTATTATAATTAAAGTTCTTCAGTTTTGTATGAAGTTGTATCTAGATGGACGTAGATGGACCTAGCCAAAGTGTTCTCCTGCTTACCGCTTGGCTTCAGCATCCTCACAATGAATCAACACTTCATGTGCAGCATCAACAATATGATTGGTCCAGCCAAGAACCTCTCCACCAATCACAGCCACTCTCTGTGTACCTCCTCGAATAGCCTCCATACACATCTCTCTTCCCAACAGTCGTGCATGTGGGTACTCTACAGGAAGATCCAAGAACAAGGAAAAGTAAGCTATGAGCCTGCATGGTTGTCAGTTCAAAAATACTGTAAAATGTATTATCGACACATCACCATTTACATCTTGACTTCACCTGAGATTTTATGTGAATTTTGCCACCTTGGTCAATTCAAGAAAAAATACTGAAACCAAGCAAAAACATCACGTTTGAAATCATTTTACTATTATAAAATAATATATATACCGTACATATGATGTACTGATGCTATGGTTTCCCTTATGAAGACCATCTGAGATATACATTGTACTGATATCTTAAGTTATTCACAAAAAGTTCATTTTTATTGTTTTAGGGGATGTACTGTTATCCAGCAAATAGAATTATGACACAATTCTATCTGATTTATGTGTTCATTTTATTGTTGCATTAGGTATTTTATGTCTGTAGTACCCTCATGACCACAGAAACATCTCTCAGAAGAGAGACACTGAACATAATTCATTTGAAATTGGAACAAGATATTTGCAGAATTCTACATTAATACTACCACCCGAAGTGTCTCCTGTTTTACCTGTTCGAAATTTCTCTGTCACCCCCTAGGGTATGACCGAGGGGTACGACAGAGGGCACGCAGTCAGAAACACTACTATGACGTGATGGGAACAATCAGATATGATGTCATAATCAGCTCTAGAAAGGAGAGGTCATGTTCAGATCAGATTAACAATCTGGTTATATATGCTGAAAACTATTGTTTTTAAACACAGTATGAGGAGGAAAGGAGTAAAATAATAATTCCCTACTTTAATGGTTTAACAAAGAAATCTCCTATCCTTGGGGTGATTATTGTTGTCTAACTCTCAGCAGAGCCTCGGGTCATACAACAATAAAATCCCCCCTCAGGTTGGAGATTTCTCTGTCACACCCTCAATATAAGGGAAGATTCTATTAATCACAGTTTGTTTTAGAGGTTTAAATACTTGTCTAACCTGTAAAAGATCGTGAGGCTGGAGCCGCGTGTTGATGTAACCTGGTATGAACTGTCTGCACTTCCCCTTCATGAGCTGGTACTATAACCTCCGACCTCTGTACACGCTTTATAACGTCTGGGTCATATGACATGGTAGTAGTGGTGAACTGGAGTTTACCTGTCAATCCCATAGTTCCATACCCACTTTCAAAATGTCTGCTTCTTCCTAAATTGCCCTTTTCTAGAAACCAAGAACATATGAAACAATAACAGTTATTATTTGTGTATAGTAATTATTTCAAAAGTATGTCAACTTTAATCAAATTCAGTAAATGTATTATAAAGTAAGTCCAAATGTGTAAATTTTGATCAGACATTCTGTCTGTTTAAAATGAAAGTTTTTGGGGAGCCGATATCATGATACAACATTCTGTCAAAGGTTTGTTAGGCCTGAAGTGTTCTTTGACAGTACTTTGCTCACCTTCAACTTCACTATGTTGCCTGGCCTGGTGGCGGATGGGACTAAGAATATCTGGGTGATTGTCATCTGTAAGCCCTGCCCTCACCTGCTTCACACAATCTATCAAAAGCTTGAAGCGCCTCTTCAGTGTGTCTATGTAGGGAGGGTTAGATGGATTGACAGTGATGTTCCCTCCCGCTGCACGCACGCCTTTAATGGCTGAAAGCAAAACTGACTTAAAATTTTGTGGACTACTTATAATACATGGTCACGACATCTCAATAAATTGACAACATATACAATGATAATTTAGAAGAACGATATTGGGGTACTATGAAATGTACAGAAATTAACTGCCCACTTCGTGTTGGTTACATGCAACTAGAAATTTCAATGAAACTCCTTGATTCTGAGGATTCAGCATATATGTAGTGATATTATACATTTCTGATTAAATAACACTACAGACCTGATATGAAATAATGCCAGAAAAAATCATTAATTATTCAGGATGAACTCTTTAAGTAGAGGCCAAACAGTCAACAGGGTGCAAACATATATTTATGGACACAAATATGATAACAGCAATTCATGTCTCACATGACATTTCATTCAAAACTTAATGGTATGGAGCTAGTCAAAAGCTTCTGTAATAACATTAATTTCCAGTTTAAAGTGGCCAGACAGTGAATTGGATGTATTATTGAGATAAAATTACTTTATGCTATATAAAGTAAGGGGGAAACTGTTCAACCTTTGACCCCATGCAGATGCATAAATGGACAAAATCACTGGTATATCCTCTCCTATATTTTGTATGCATGATATAATTTCTATATACAGCGGGGCTACCTTACCTCTCTGTAGTTGTTTTATATAAGATTGCAGACCATTCCTATATAATGGATTCTGGCTATGATCAACAATGCGAACAGCAAATTGGCCAACACGGCGAGACCGTCCGACCACGCCCCTCAATGCCGAGGCCACACCCACTAAATCCTCCTCTGTCAAAAATCCTAAGCAAACATTCACATCCTCTTCTATTTTTGACTCTGCAAAATATGGGCACTTCATTTAACAGTTAGTATAATAAAGGTAGTTTAACATTATCTTATAACAATGATTATTCACAATAGATCAACATGACAGGTTTTACACCAATATTCTATATTACATAAAGAGGATGACAGACTCGTGTACATTCTGTTTATCTTGTATAAAGATAGAAGCTATAGTTTCTCTACTTACCAGAAACCTGCATGAAGATGGCAGGGACTGTCATTTCATCCAGCACCTCCACCAAGTTTTTCACCTCAAATGACCATTCTTTCATCAACAATTTAAGATGCTTAATGGCCATTTTGTCACATGACGTCTTTGCCATGGTTACCGCTCCGGGAACCATTTCTGGGTCTAATCTCTCCAGCCTACACACACAGGTTCTCAATACACGCACTCCTGATAATAACACAAAGCGAAATTTATTTACATACAAAAATATGACTGCATTGAACAAAAAGGATTCTGTAGGGTTCATATTCTAGTTGTTAAAATAGTATTCATGAACTAGTATATCTGATTCAGCACACTTTCCCTACTTAACATGTATTCTTAATTGTCAGGATACCAGAGAAAATTTGTTTTAAAAAAACCACCAAAATCACCCCGTATCATTTGATAGAAACAAGCCTTAAAATCACAGATAAAACCCATTTTGTTTAAACATCATTTTGGAAAGAAACCTACTTCGTTTATCTGATGAACTTGCTGCCACACATCTTGCCGTTTGGCACATTTTATCTGCATGATTTTCAAAATCCTGTATATATTCTTCACTGAGGTCCTGGAGACTCTGAGCCTACAACACAACAGATATTCAGTCCACACTGAGGTCCTGGAGACAAGTTTATGATTTAGTTTTTCATGTGCTCAACCAAAACATGCACAGTACCAGAAAAATCAATAGGGGGGGAGAGACACAATGGGAGCAGGGAGCACCCACTAATACTATCAATAATAGAATGTTAACAGCTACAAATAGTTGTGCCTTGTGTTTACTTTTTCGACCAATCACTTTACAATTTACTAGAATCATTGGTTTCATTCAATTTGTTAAAACACATTCATGCAACAGAATAGTAAAAATTCAACATGAGAACCTTTAACAGACTGTTTTAGAATGAAGAAAAGAGTATAATCCTGTTACAGTAACAATCAGTACAGAATCAGTGATTCCAGTAGTGAATCCTCTATTTTAAATCAATGCCAACACACCTCACTGGAGTACATAGCAGACTTGACGAGCCTTTCTAACGGTTCAGTAGTCTCCTGGAAGATGTCTATCATCAAGTGAAGTAATGCCAAGTTCACATTCCTCTCCAGCTCGTAAAACTCATCCATTAGGCTCTCACAAATGTCAGCAAAGTCATCTCTTTATAAGAAATTGAACATGTTTCATGAATGAAATGTCCAAATAACATTTTATTATATCTAGTCAGTTCAGTACAAAAGGAATATATATTGCTGTGTATTCACAAGAACTTCATAATGACATGGATGTATGATTAAAATAAAGTAAAAATATGAACTTTTCATCAAACTAAAGTTCAAATGTACCTGGAGATCATTAAAATAGTTTGTAAATGTAAAAGTATGATGTGAAACTATGCAAGAATGTTTGAAACTATACATTATGACGTTTTATATCCTACAACTCAAGTTATAAACGGTTCAAAACACTAACATCAGGTATACAATATACTCACTGCATAGATTGTATATCTGGATTGTCTTTTACACTGCTATGCAACTTAAAGACCTGAGATTTCAGCTGTAAAATCTGTTAATTAAAGTAAAAAAGACTTTAGAATAAAAGTTAAAATTATGTTTCTTAATATGAAATCAGAAATGATTTTGTTTTATCTCAATGGGAAAGGGACTGCATGTATTGGGAAAGGGACTGCATGTATAGGGAAAGGGACTGCATGTATTGGGAAAGGGACTGCATGCATTGGGAAAGGGACTGCATGTATTAGGGACAGGGGTATGGTTCATATAAATGTTCACCCTAGAAATTGTAAATGTTTATTACACATATTACACATGTGTATATACCGGTAATACACATATACAGACCATGGGGTGGAGTTCTATAGATGACATGCCCCATTGATATTGGGTTTGAAATGTTACAGAGTAGAAGCTGCAGGTTGTATAAAGGGTGGACTATTACCCGCTGACATGTTCTAATGATGACGTCACGGAAACTATCTGTACACATGTGAGCCACCAACATGCTGTGTCTGACGGTCATCTCTGTCCAGCTCTCCAGGTCAGTATGTAGCTCGGCCCGATTATCTTCAGACAGTACTTCAAGTATCTGAAAAATAATTAATCAAATAAGGAGAGGAGCAAAATGTTTTTTGTGTGTGTTTATTTGAGATGCATATTTTTACTTGTTTAATTGTAATAAAGGAATCTCAACACCACCAGGACGTTTTGTGTTATTTACAGTCTACATGTTTCGGCCTGCTATGTGGCCATCATCATGACCACCCTAGGAATTCTACATCAGGAGTGTTGGATCGCCAATTATTTGTTATTGTTAAATTGTAGTTATAATACATTTGTATAAAACAAGAAAACACTGTCATCAATAATATTCTTAAAAGTATAATCTGTGTTGCAGTTCTAGGTATAAACCAGATAAAGATAAAACCAATGTCCTTAAGCTAATACATAAACTAAACTATTTCTTCTTAATCAAGTTAAAATGTAGGTAAAAAACAGCATCTGCATTCAGTAGAGACCCTAGTTGCAACATTGATGTAAGTATTAACCGTGTAACATTTTTAGTTACCAAGCTATGGACGGGGTAGGACTATCATGGGTTTAATGTGTCAGTCGGCCAAAGTAGGAATTTTGTTTTCCTCTGTTCACAAAATTATGGTTTTTTTTTCTTGTACATATCATAACATGTAAAAGATGAAAAGTTTTGTAGAAATAAAAAACTTCTGGTACCTTGAAATGTAACATTTTAATATAGAATGTGAAGAAATTCAATTACTCTAATTTAGGCATCACAATTTAAGCCACAACTAATAACAATTTACTAACTGGTATAAGCATATTACAATATAAATGGAGTACTGTAAAATTGCAAATTTCCCCCCTCCCTCTATCATTGTCACATTTTCCCCCCTTAACAAGAAGATGAATTCAACTCTTGAGCAAAAATTTGTGATAGTTTTAGTAGTTTAAGAGTAAAAGTAGGGTGAGTTCAACCCCGGGCAAATCTGTATTAAAATTTCAGTCCAAGAGCCAAATTCTGATTGCCAAACAGAATTGCAGCTTACAGTATCTCTATCTGACATACAAAGATATGGGAGATGAAGACATAATTATACGACTCCAAAAGCAATGATTCAGATGCTGTTAAAGTGAAGCTGTTCATAAACTTAACTACCTGATCCACTTTGGCCACAAAGAAGCCAGACTCCTCCACGTCAAGGTAATCCTCGTCAGTAGATTTATTCTCAAAAGCTTCCACCATGTCCCGTACCGCAGCTAGTACTTGGTTCATCACACAAGCTTTACTCATCTGAAAATATTTCTCATAAATAATTTCCTTATAATAAATATCTGCTCTCAATTGCAATTTTAACTCTCTCCTGCCTCTTAAAAACACTATTCACTGCATGACATCTTTGAAAAACTCTGAAGATCTGGTTTCATAAAGAAGGTATCTAAACTTCTGACCATTGTACCATATGGATAATTTCAGAGAACCATTTGACCACTTAAAGAACAAATTTTTCCTTACCTGTGCCTGTGGATTTTGGGGATACTTGACAAAGCTCTGTAGAGCTACACTCATGGAGGGTATGGACTTCTTTAACAAAGCCATTGAGGTAATCACTTTCTCTCGCTGTCTGTCATGACACAGGTCCTTCTGCCGCTTGTTTGCATGTGTACATAGCTGGGCCGCAGCATCCGTAAAACTCTGTATCACAAACAAAACATATCTCTGTATCCTAAACCAAATGTAGTGCCTGGCCACCACCAGAATGACTGGCCACTTTTCATTCCTAGAGCATCAATGGTTGTGTATTCTGAAGCTGAGATGAGTTTCTGTCATGCCTACACACAACAATGCACTGTATTCTACAGTTTCACAAGTATTGCAAGTAAGAGTGGTAATCTGTCAATATTTTACATGTTTGTCCTGTCAGTTCTAGTCCTTACTTAACAGCCACCGTCAACAGTTACTGCAATGGTGGGGAGCTTAGCACTGAAGACTGTCTGATTTTTTTGGTCTTCGGTAGGCAATCACTGGTATCACATACTGATAATTTGTTCAGTTTGTTTGATGACTGAAAGATGCTGCAGTACTCCTTGGTGATGCTTACAAGTACAATAAGTGGTGTGTTTGTGTGGTATGTGAATAATGGGATCACACAAAACACTCTTGAAGAGGCGCATTAGTGATATCTTAGCCGATACACATGTACACGTGTACATCCTCTAAGATATCACTGATGTGCTTCTTCAAGAGCTAATACAGAGGTAAACAGATTCTGTGTCTCCAAACATTACATGTGGTTATGTGTTTCTTTAAAAATCACACAAATTTTAAGTTCACCTGTCCCATACCTTAAAACAAGTGAGCAGATCTGCCATGGTCTGTACCACCCCTAGACGACTGATATTTTCTGATACCAGGTGAGCAGCTGAAACAATTCTGCGCACCTCTGCATCATCAGACACCAGTAATACCTGAAAAAGGACAATTTAAAGTATTATTACTATCAGGATATATACTATAATTAAGTATGTATACATCATTCTTTATTAACTCAACCTTTTGTTTACATTGTTGAAATTGCTGCTTTTCACTGCACCTTCAACCTATTTTACCCCATCTATATACACCTTCATAGTGCCCTGGGGGACACTTTTACCTATTTTACCCCATTTATATGCACCTTCATAGTGCCCTGGAGGACATCTTTAGCAGCTGTGACAAGTTTGGCCCATTCCTCTCTGGCGCTGTTCCCCTCAAGTCTCTGAGTGGCAAGGTAAAGATCACTGGAGGCAAGGTCTAGAGTTTCACAGGCACTCAGCATTCGGCGACTGTACTCCTACAAAATAACACAATATTCATTAATAGTTTTTTCTTTTGTGCTACTACTGATGCACTGCATATTTATTGTAAGATTATATCAATGATGTTCTGCAGCCATATGTGTCAAACTAAGGCTTTTCATATTTCATATCTGGGCCAGAGTTTCAACATACTACATGTGTTTACAGCTCTGTCAGTGTTACATAATACAGGTGTTTTAGCTTTGGCTGTTCAGAGTTACAATGCTCTACTGCATGACCTTTGTGTTTACAGCTGAGTCATTGTTAGAATGTAAAGATGTACATTGTATTTGTACTACATAATTATGTACATGTGTTTACTGTTTGTTTGCATATCATGAGATGGGTTTTAACTGTAGTGCACTTCATGTGTCAGATTGCACTATATGTGTTAACAGATGGGCCAGCCAGACTTACTTGGGTCTACATGTGTATGTCATGTAAGATATATGATATCTAACTGGTACATACACTTATCAATAGAATCTAAAACAGTGGTTGACATATCAACACTGATATCATTAACCAACTTACAGTACTTTTACTACTAATTATAACCTTAACTAATATACATGTATGCTTTAATATGCTCTTGAGACTGCCATGCCAACAACTGTTTAGTTCATTATATTTAATTATAATGGAGATCTAGTGAATGCCATGTTTTTACCCAATATGATTATCACAAGTCTGTTATCAGAATGTTAATTGTTATTATTTTGTGTATGTACATTATATACTCAATAAAATCAAAATTGCACATTTCATTTTATTGTCATTGCAGACAAATAAATATACCTGATCTGCACCGCTTTGTGACTTTTCCTTTCCTACTGATATTAAGTGTTCTGCTGCTTTCATCATTGCAGATGCACATGGACCTATGTCATTTGGTATTGAAACATCAGTCTTGGTTTCTCCAAGGATAATCAGCAAGGAAATCTGTTGAAAGAGATTTAATTATTTGTATAATTACATGAAAATGAAATTTAAGTCCGACTCTGGTGGGATTTTGGTGAAGCTATCTCATTTAATGAAGTATTAAAACCTTGGTTCAACAAAATTAAACTTTTTGGATGTATCTGACCTAAATAAACAAAATCCAATTCAATCCCCCATTTTGTTATGAAAAAAATGTAGAAATCGATTTTATTGCGTTATTAAAAATGCACGATTTCTCTTTATTGAATTATGAAACATTGAACGTTGCATTAAATAGATGCGTAACTGTTACAAATTGAAATTGATTATAGAAATGAAACACTCCTAGACCCCTTTCTTAACATCACAGCTGTTGCCCAAAAAAACTGCAAAACCTCTCGACAAAATTTTACAAGGAGCACCTGCGATGCTATTGGAGCCAATATCCTTTCAATTGACTTGGTCTGGACAAAGCTTGTCAATAATCCGTTGGTCACTTCCATAACTGCAAGCGTGTAGGAAACTTCTCGATTATTTATTAACTTCACATTATTCAAATATAAATGTGTTGTGCTTCGTGTTTAAACTGGATCAAAGCATCTGTTTGATTGAGATAGTTGTCACCGTCAACAAAGTGTTTATATTTTTATGTATTATAATATCTAAGCAGGGAAAGAATCCGGATAATTTTTGCCCCACCTGTTGAGGCCCAGGCGACACAAAAATATTTCGTATCCTTGTTCGAAAAATTGGTTATGATATTTTAGAGTGTTTGCTGCATGTAAAATAATTAAAACCCATATACATATAAGGTTTTAAGCCTTTGAATTGTAAATCTAAAAGCCGTAATAATTGGCTCGTACGATAGGACTAACTGTTAGAGGAGAGGGAAAAGCATGTAAAGGTTAGCCTTAAATCAATCTCATTAAAATCAGATGTTAATAAAAAAAAATACCTACGGCTATTAACGTACGTGTCCATGCGGTACGTACTAATGAAAAGCTGTATTTATTCAGATTGGCCTTAAATTTGATTGTTTGCATTCTTGCTAGACAGTTAGACTATTTTATACATTGTGTTCTGGTGGAGGGAATAGAAAAATAAGCGGTCTAGCAATCCCATATCATCCAAAAATGAATAAGCTGCTTGAATTAAATTTAACAGTTAAAACTTAATTTAAGACTGTATTTCTTATCTTGATGTTCCAACCACACTCTTTTCTTTTTAAAGAAAAGCAAACGGAGCTCCTGATTGACAATATCCTAATTGACCGCAGTTGGCGTGCTATAGCAAGAGTTTCCAGCAGACTAGCTGTAGGCATCACAGACTCTAGCTTTTACTTCAGTCGCTTTCCTCGTTGTAAGATATGGATCGGCTTACTACTAAGCTGAACCAATAAGAAGAGCTTTCGACTTTCCTATCGTAAACCTTCCCTTTCTTGATAGTGACATCCTTGCATTACCAACTTTATTCGTTATTCAAGAGCCTGTTCCGATTTATATTTTGCCCTAGTTTAATCGACTTTAAGCTAGAATTATTTTTACTGACACTTCGGCTTTCTCCCGTTGTTTCTTGTGTGTGTGCCTGTGTACGTGGTACATCAGCGGCCAGGATTGTCAGCTAGAAGTACGTTTGTTTGATTTGTCTATAGTAAAGGAATTGTCAATCATTTTGTACAGCATGAATTAATAATTAAAGGCCTGGCAGTTTTCCTTCTCCTTGTGCGTTCGCATACCTGCCATTTTTTTAAAATTTTCATGTGGGAGATTATGTATTCTCAGAATTAAAAGGAATAATAAAATGAGTAATTGTAAACCACAGGGAAAATATATAACACTTTAAAATGGTATCTTTTGAGCTGTTCTTTTAGATATTAGAAAATATAGGAATTGTTTAGCAAATTCACAGGTTGATAATGCTCATTTTTAGGGTCCGAAATATGAAGTCTGCCTCCAAAATAGGGAGAGTTGGCAATTATGCGTTCGTTTATCGTGGATAATGTCTTGGCCACCTACTTAAATCAACAGGGGTCGTTATTCTTGTCATCCGGATAGATGATAAACCGCTGACCGTTTTCCAGAGTATTATTTCCCAAAAGAAAAATATAGAACGTTTATTTATGTATTGCATGAAAGTAGTTACTGTGTTTTCACAATAAAATAATAACAATTAGTTGACACTTTAAAGTTTTACTTTTAACAGCAATCTATTTACGAATTTTTGTTCGATAATTGATTATTCACTGCGGAACTGATAAACATGACGTGAAGGAAAACATGGCGGACAAAGCAGTCGACTGAGCCCCGGCAAAAAACAAAACCGTGTTTTTCGCTTAATGTGCATTAAATACTAAAGATGGCAACACGAAGTCTTACCGAGGTGTTCATTCTGATGAGAAACAATGCGCTTCAAAGTCGCAACATGTTCTCTGAACAAGTAAGTCAAGATAATAAACAGACTTTGCAACATTTGCTTTCTGAAGTTTCTCAACTGTCATTATTCATGATATCGCATTTATGTCAGCATGTCCTGAAGCACAGGAACTTGAATTTCTATCAGAATGGTCTATTTAAGCTCAGAGAACTGATTAAGCCCAATATATACCCCCCTTACCGTACGGGGGGTATATATTGGGCTTAATCAGTTCTCTGAGCTTAAATAGACCATTCTGATAGAAATTCAAGTTCCTGTGCCTGAAGTGCGATCTTAAGATTTCTTTTGTAAACAAGCTCTTGGTTAATTTTAATTTTATCCAAGTTACGCCAACCAGGAGATCAGGGATCTGGTAAGTCCTTATAGGATTAATGGTCATGTCCAGTACACTGCCGATTGAGCTATATCGTCTAGTCACCAGTTTCCGCGCAGACATTTTATCAAGCTGTATCTCGTAACTACGTGACCTGCTGGACACAACAAAGCATATTTTAGACGTTTGGCCATCGTCTGTAAACTGACAAAAAAACTACCGGAAGTTCGTCCAGAAAACATAAGAATTAATCATCAGTGATCATGGTTAAAAAAACACGCATAAATATGCAGTTTTGCTAAATGCACTTTTTATCTTCCTCAAAATGAACACATACCTGAAAAAACGCTGATATATTTCATTCATGAACCAGTCTTTTTGTAGTCTAACAAACGTACGAAAATGTCGTATGCAAATGAGGCCACATCTCCTCACCGATTTTTTGCCACTTCCGAAGAGCCAATGAGACATTCTTATATCGATAAACAGTGTTTTCAATGAAACGTAAACCTTGTAATGCAATGAACTTCCAATTTTCACCAATTTTAAACAGAACAAAATGAGAAATAACTTACCATCAACCAAAACCGATATAAAACTGCAGAAAAATAATAATAACAGATTCTATATTATAGCTAAATAAATATAACAAATAAAATTATAAAATAACATGAATTCGTTCAATTTGACACCTTGAAAAATCAATTAAAAATGTGAAATTTAGAAAAAATTGTTTTGATTATTAATTTGACGATCGAAGATTTTTTTTTTATTCCAAACGAAGCTTTTGTTCTTTTAGTGTATTCAAGTTATCTTTCTTTGAACACTAAATCAAAATAGACACACGGATACATATGACGGCTACTTCCGACGGTAGAAATTTGTTAAAAATTGTTTGTTCTGATTTATTTTAAAAACAATTTTAGGTTGCTATTATTTTGTTTCCATTAGTAGATTGTATACATGTTTATGACAATCATCTCGTAATTTCAACGGATTTCTGCCGATATGTGTACGAAATCGCGGTTGCTTCTTAAGTGCGCGGAAAACGGTAACCCAAGGATACTATATAGATGTAAAGACCTATTATATAATTATAGCTCTATTGACCTATCTGAAATAGATCTTTTGAGCTATTTTCATGTGATTTTCTTTTTAAAGGAAAACGAAACAAAGTCGCTTTTAAAAGAAGATCAGTATACTTTTAGTAGTCAACATTACTATAAACCTTATTGTTTTATGCGACTTTGCTTTAATTAAATAAAATTTGAAATCTGAGAAATTTTAGCTCAATACAGCTATAATTTATAGGTGAATATAGCTATATATAGGTCTTTATAGCTATATTGCTCAACCGGCAGAGTGTACTGGACCTGCTGGTATGTTGTATATCATACTACTGCCGTACTTAACTGCACAGTGACCCTAGGCCTAATATTGAGAGCACTGATTCTGTCCGAAGCTGTATTGTACAAGTGCTACTATTATTAAACTAAACATACAAATTACTGATATTGCTTCATTTTAGTAGCATTTTATAATATAGAGATGTGACACTGTGAAGCGCGCGGTCCCAAGGAAAAGTAATTCTAGTATATAACTATGCACAATGCATGTCTAAAGCTTAATGATTACAAACCACTTAAGTATTTATGTTCAATATAATATATATCACTTAAAATCAGTGTTTTTTCCTGTATATATCAAGCTCAAACTTTTGGAATTAAATCTTATTATTGAGCACTGCAAATGTCCACCTTATTTTTAACACTGAAGTAATCATTGAATTATATGTGTTAGTGCAAATGTCATGTATTATTATAAATAGCACTATGTAAAGGGACAACATATTGTAACTATAATTTCTCAAAACATCACCCATTAATAATCCACTTATCACAGAGATGGATTTGAATGATGATTCCATATTTCATTGACAGATGGCTGATGACCGGATGGCCCTAGTGTCCAACTGCCATGTTGATCCAGAACTTGGTATAGCCAGCACAAAAGCCTCTAGACTGCCTCCAGAATGGTAAAACAAATTGTTGAACATGATCTTCTAATAAATCAAAATACATAGGTAGAATATTGCCTCATTATGTCAAACAATGACTGTGTTGATGCTGTATTGTAAGATGTAATGAGTACACATGTACATTACTCCTAAAACATAAGAGGCCGCTTGTCAGCATTTTTTCTATCGGATATGATTTTGCCGACGCGGCACCTGTCAAAAGTATCTCGCCGTGTAAACCTCTAACACTGTTGGAGTAGAGTATACCCATGCCTCCTTAACAGTTATCTAATCTTTTTACTGAATTTTGTCAAACTTGATAATCTTGTATTGCAAAACACAGATCTATATATTTTGAAAGTTACTCACAATATTAACCCTTCTCACTAATTAAATTAACCTGACTTAAGATTGTTAGACATTTTTTTCAACATTTTACTTTTTCAGGGTTGATAATGTGGAAGAAGTGCAATATGAGATTACAAGAATTAAACAGAAAAGTAAGCACAGTAAAAAACAAAACCTTCCTGTTATACTGCCATGTTTTGTTTAAACATTCTAAAAAGAGGTTGACAATACATCCGTGAGATGTATAGATGGACTGTGGAATAAATAATGAAAATAAGTAACCTTGAAATATGTCGACAGTGAAAGGGTGTTGCTGAGTTTCATTGTATGTAAATTTGATATTTTGCATTGTAATTTGTTTGTGTTACTCTGTTGTACCAAACATTTCCTTAGGAACTATCTCCAGCAGCTGCATGGTGACACCCTATATAAACATATATGATATGGTATTGTTAAGCATGCTCTGATAATGTGTCCACCTCGTACGTCCCTTGAAAATGAAACATCAGCCTAAATAAAATCTGGATCTGAAATTTTGCACTTTGTAAATCGGGAACTAGGTACTGCAGGGATTAATGCAGGAATAGAAAGTCGGTGCCCTTTTTTGTAATGGGGGAAAATATGCGCTGAAGGTGCATGACCCATCCAGCGAGGCCTGCAGGTCGGAGCCAGGGGGAGAGTACAAGAGGGGGGCATGGATTAGTTCTTTAATTTTGTTCCTCGCTGTTCATTATATAGATTATTAGGTCACCTGAGCTTTGCTCAAGTGACCTATTCCAATCGCTTTTCGTCCGTCGTCGTGCGTCGTGCGTAAACTTTTACATTTTCAACTTCTTCTCAAGAACCAGTGGATGGATTTTTTTCAAACTTGGTCAGAATCATCCTTGGTAGATGAGGCTTCAAAATTGTAAAATTGGGATTCCTACCCCAACCCCTGGGGCCAGGGCGGGGCCCCAAAGGGAAAATTA